AGGATAATATTAGTGTTCTAATTATCTGATTAGTCAATTATTAAAATCATTTAAATCAACCATTATTAGTCAATCAAACATGTTTTATAATATCTTGCCAAATCTTAGAAAACAGGCCCTGAGACACCAAAATCAGCATAATATCTGATCGCAAAAATTATTTAATAAAACAAACCTTTATTAGCCAATCAGATACTGTGTTCACATCAATAATTTTTTAAGAAACAAGTTCTTAGATACCGTATTCAGGATTAATTTAGAGTTCCAGTCATCTGATTGGTCAATCACTATAATTATTTTAAATCTAACATTATAAATAAGATTATGGTACTTAAAACATCCTATTAAAATATTAAGAAACTAAAGGATTGAGGTTTAAAGGGTTAAAAGAGGAAAGAGAACTTACTAGTAGATGGTTTGACAGAGAGCGATGACGTAGAAACAGAAGTAGGAGAGGCTTAATGATGGTAAAAAATAAACAGAGAAGAATATATAGTTATTATATATGTACATATTAGTCAATGGCGGTGCCAGACAGGGGACAGAGGGGGGCAAAATATGTGTCAGAATGCACCAAATCAATTTTTTTTTTCTACAGAACTGCCTCATTTGGAATCTTAATCCTGAAACTTATTAAGTCATTTTGCCCCCTTATTTGTAGCCCCAGTTATTGAAGGATGGCACCACCACTGATATTAGTCTATATCTTTAATTGTTAAAATCAGTTTTGTTCAGGAATAAATAGGATGAAATGTGAAAAATTTAGTAAGCTATATAAAGAAAAGGTAACAAAAAATGGATAATATCTAATTACATACCATAAACTGGATGAGGTATACCTCCTGGCATGCCCATTCTCTGAGGTACTCCCATTTGATTTGGAGGTGGTCCTCCTCCATATGGTCTTGGACCCTGAAAAATAGAAAAGGAATTCTCTTTTTAACAGAATTCTAAACAATCAAAATGACATGGAAGATTTACAACCTGAATTTTAGAGGAAATGAAGATCAAGAATCTCAATCAGTGTACCATGACAGTAGCACAGTGGAGCCTCGTTTATCCACACATTCCCGAGATAATGTTTGATGTGTTCCGTAGCCATGAATTCAAGTATTACTGAACGAAAGATAGCTTACAAGTGATCATTAAATTAACCGCATATTCTCAAATAACAATTTATTAAACAACGATCAACAAGGCATCATGAACAAAACCAATTCGGAAGCCAGTTTCACTTATTTATAAACACAAAATTCCATGCCGTAAATTCGTAGGGCTAACATTTGATGCATTCCGTGTCAATAATAGAATTCAGGTATGACTGAGAAAAAGATGACATTGAAGTATAACTGAACGAAAGATGACATTGAAGTATAACTGAACGAAAGATGACATTGAAGTATAACTGAACGAAAGATGACATTGAAGTATAACTGAACGAAAGATGACATTGAAGTATAACTGAACGAAAGATGACATTGAAGTATAACTGAACGAAAGATGACATTGAAGTATAACTGAACGAAAGATGACATTGAAGTATAACTGAACGAAAGATGACATTGAAGTATAACTGAACGAAAGATGACATTGGAGTATAACTGAACGAAAGGTGACATTGAAGTATGACTGAACGAAAGGTGACATTGAAGTATGACTGAACGACCACGTGATGATTAAATTAATTGCTTAATCTCATAATGAGGATTTATTAAACACCAATCACGTGACATCTTAAATACCGCTCATCCGGAAGCCAGTTAGAAGAACTCACAGTAACACGCGACCGGATGATGAATACTAATTACTGTAGAAATTGATAATTGGTTCCCAATCACAGTTGTGCGGAACTGGAAACAGGAGCACCGGATTAACAGTTACTTTTACATAGTAAATATTCCGTTCCCAGTAAAATATATATCAGGATATCAGGGTTTCCAGATTATCAGAAACCGGATAAACACTGCTCTACTGTATTCGCTGTATCTATCTATTTAAAGGACATTATCTATAAAAGAGTTTGCTTGATATGAAGTACTGGAAAATGTGTCTAAACTACAATAAAATGTGTCCATAACACAATAAATATATTCAATATAATTTTATAAAATATTTCAACTTAAATCATAATCAGATATTTAAAACAATGTAATTTATATCAATAAAAGACTCCAATACCAGCAATAGTTGCTTATTTAACCTCTTATTAATCTTTATTAATTCATTTATTAAATCAGCCTGTATGTTATTTTAAGAATTATGTACCTCTTATTGTACCTGTTAAAATTTAATGTAATGTACTAATAAACCAATTTATCTATTGACGTGTTCTTAATAATAAGCATTAATATATATAGTTTGCCCATCACTTCTTATCATTATATATGCCTAAGGACGACCGGTGAAACGTTGCATAAAACTTTAACCAAGGTGATTGTTGTTCCATAAAGCTGTGTCTATATATCATACCCACAATTGCTAAATGCCATTCAAAGATTTGAATCCTTACTACGTCACTTATTTCATGTGTCACTGATCAAGCCATGATCATCAAGTCTCATTGACTAAGGAAAAAAGATAAAGCCACAATTATCAAGTCTCAATGACAAGGGATACCTGATTGAGCCACAATCTTCAAGACTCACTGATTCTCAAATCACACTGACAATGGAAACTAGATCAGGTCTCATTGACAAGGGAAAAGCGATAGAGCCACAATCTCTCGTTCTCACTGACATGGGAAAAGCGATAAGTCACAATCTCTAGTTCTCATTGACAAGGGAAAAAAGATAGAGTCACAATCTCTAGTTCTCATTGACAAGGGAAAAGAGATAGAGCCACAATCTCTAGTTCTCATTGACATGGGAAAAGCGATAGAGTCACAATCTCTAGTTCTCATTGACATGGGAAAAGAGATAGAGTCACAATCTCTAGTTCTCATTGACAAAGGAAAAGCGATAGAGCCACAATCTCTAGTTCTCATTGACAAGGGAAAAGAGATAGAGCCACAATCTCTAGTTCTCATTGACATGGGAAAAGCGATAAGAGTCACAATCTCTAGTTCTCATTGACAAGGGAAAAGCGATAAGAGTCACAATCTCTAGTTCTCATTGACATGGGAAAAGAGATAGAGTCACAATCTCTAGTTCTCATTGACAAGGGAAAAGAGATCGAGCCACAATCTCTAGTTCTCATTGACATGGGAAAAGCGATAAGAGTCACAATCTCTAGTTCTCATTGACAAGGGAAAAGCCATAAAGTCATGATTATGAAGTCTCACTGACAATCATGTCATGATTATGAAGTCTCACTGACAACTGAAAATAATCAAGCCATGATTTTCAAAGTCGCTCTGGCTCTGGAAAAAAGAACCATGTGTGATTTGAAATATCGATCAAAGATCTTGAAATAAATGATAAAGATATCATCTTGTGATTAGGGCTTATCAAAAATAAAAATAAGTCACGTACGTGTGTTTTCCTGTAATATACATTTAAACTAGATTACAGACATATTTCAATGTAACTTCTTAACTACATGGTGAAGTTGGCTAAACAGAGTCACATTGCTCAATGCACCTACTTCAATTTTGTGCAATTCCATGATGCTTAAAATCAACCCTAATATATCATTTT